TTCGCCGACTTGTTAAGCTTGAATACAAGGACGATATGAGCATGATTGAACACCTGAACACCTACAAAGGTATTGTGAATCAGCTGACAAAGGCTGATATGAAAATTGATGAAGAATTGCAGGCATTGCTGCTGTTGAGCTCGCTGCCAGAAAGATGGGATACTCTGGTGGTGACCCTGAATAACTCGACTCCAGATGGAAAATTGAATATGGATGTCGTGACAGACAGCCTCCTGGACGAAGAATCCAGGAGAAGAGAACGAGGTATTTCGAGTACGTCTGAGGCCAACGTTGCTGAGAACAAAGGGAAATCTGACTCCCGTGGTAGAAGTAAGAGTCGCGGTAGAGGTCGTGACAGACGAGACAAGTCCAGAGGTCGGTCAAAGCCGAAATATAAGTTGAAGTGCTTTTACTGTGGAACGACAGGCCATAAGAAGCCAGACTGCTGGACCCTACAGAATGATGAGAAGAACGGCTCTGTGAAGCCGGATCAGATTATTCCCAAGAAGAGGGAAGACAAGAGCACCACTGCGGTGGCCTATGTAGCACCGATACGACACGCGACACGACACGACACGATACTCCGACAGGTCAATCCTAAAAAATTATGGATTTCGACACGTTGGGACACGTTTTAATATTAAATAATATTTTTAATTTATATAGTGTATATTTTATTTAATATTTAATAATTTAACAAAAAAATGAAACTAAATTAATAATACCCATCAACACGTTATAAAGATGGAAGCTTTAATAAAAAAAATAAGAACTGGGATGAGAGAGAGATATAATATCAGATAGAGAGATCAAATCATATTAGAGAGAAGAAGATACAACAAGAGCGTGATAAGAATTGACAACAATGATGTTGAGATCATCTCTTATCTACTTAAGGAGAAAAAAGACAAAAAGATAAAATTGATATGATCAGGTGGAAGCTTTATTAATATATTTTAACTTTTAAAAAAACTAAATTTTAAAAAAAAAATTACAAAAAAAAATTAAAAAAAATTAAAAAAAAATTACGAAAATGTCATTTGACTGTGTCGGACACGGTCAAATTCGCGTGTCGGAATGGTCAACGTGTCGGAAAAAGTCAACCGCGTGTCCGACACCGTGTCGGAGCGTGTCGCCGTGTCGGAGCGTGTCGGACCCGACTCTTCCTGTTTTTACAAGTGTCCGTGCTTCCTTGGCGGTGGCTGCCAACCCGGATGCCGAGATATTCCTCCTTGGTTAGGATAATTATTTGAATGTTGCATATGATGACTGAATCTGGGTTGTTGACTCTGGTGCCTCATTCCACGTTACTCCACACAAAGGTTTTTTCTCTTCTTATCGAGGTGGTGATTTTGGAGTCGTGAAGATGGGAAATCAAGTGACCAGCAAGATTGTTGGTGTCGGTGATGTAACTCTAACCACAGATGTTGGATGCCGACTTGTGTTGAAAGATGTGAGGCATGTTCCTGACATGCGTTTGAACCTAATCTCGGTAGGCAAACTTGATGATGTCGGGTTAGTGAACTACTTCGGTAGTGTGAGATGGAAGCTGGCCAAGGGAAACTTGGTCGTGGCCCGAGGTAAGAAAGAAGGCTCCTTGTACGTGATGCAAGGAAAGATCAATGGCGGAGAAGCCAATTCTGTTCGAGATGAACCTAGCTTGGAGCTATGGCACAAGCGTTTCGGCCACATGAGCGAGAAAGGGCTACAGATCCTGAACAAGAAAGGATTATTGACCGGGTTGAAAGGCCAAGCGTTGGAGAGTTGCACGCACTGCCTAGCTGGAAAGCAGCACCGGGTTTCTTTTGTGAGACCAGATCAACCAAGAAGACGAAGGAATATTCTTGACCTCGTCCATACTGATGTTTGCTCCATGTCGGAAAGATCCCTTGGAGGAGCTCAGTACTTTGTTTCATTTATTAATGACCATTCTCGCAAAGTGTGGGTATATTTGTTGAAGACTAAAGATCAGGTACTCCAATCCTTTAAAGAATTCCATGCAATGGTTGAAAGGGAGACTGGCAAGAAATTGAAGGTGGTCCGATCTGACAATGGTGGTGAGTATTGCGGCCCATTTGATGCATACTGCAGAGCGGCCAGGATTCGACTTGAGAAGACGCCCCCTAAGACACCTCAGCTGAATGGACTGGCTGAGAGGATGAACAGAACAATTGAAGAGAAGGTAAGAAGCATGATATCCAATGCCGGGTTACCGAAATCATTCTGGGGAGAAGCCGTCAAAACAGCTGTTGACTTGATCAATCTCTCACCATCACGGCCACTTGAAGGAGAAATTCCAGAAGAAGTCTGGACAGGTCGGAAAGCGGCCTATAACCAACTGAAAGTGTTTGGATGCCGAGCTTTCGTGCATATCCCTAAAGATGAAAGGGCCAAACTTGATGCAAAGACTAAAGAATGCATTTATCTTGGTTCGCCGAGATGTGAGTTCGGGTTTCGACTTTGGGATCCAATCAATAAGAAGATAGTGAGAAGCCGAGATGTGATCTTTCATGAGCATGAGAACATTCATGACATCTCGAAGCCCAAAGTCCGGGTTACTGTCAGACGTGAAGAACCCATCCCTCCTGTCCGAGCTGAAGCAGGGGGAGAAAATCAAGAAAATGAAGAAAATGATGATCAGCAACAAGCTGAAGATGACCAAGACACTGAGGTCCGAGTTGATGATGAGATCTGGGATGAAAATGTTGAACCGGGTTCTCAAGCTGAAGAACAATCGAGATATCCAACTCGAGAAAGAAGACCCTCTACAAGGTACCCATCTGATGAATACACCGTTGTTGCTGAAGACGGTGAGCCTCAGAGTTATGATGAGGCTGTGATGAGCTCAGAGAAAGAAGAATGGAAAAAGGCAATGCAAGACGAGATGAAGTCTCTGCACGAGAATCAGACTTATGAGCTGACCGAGTTACCTAAAGGAAGACGAGCTTTGAAGAATAAATGGGTCTACAAGATTAAGAATGAAGAGAACGGGCAAAAGCTGAGATACAAAGCCCGGATTGTAGTGAAAGGCTGCAATCAGAAGAAAGGAGTAGACTTTGAGGAGATTTTTTCTCCTGTGGTGAAAATGACCTCGGTCCTAACCGTGTTAGCCATGGCGGCTTCAATGGACCTCGAGGTAGAACAAATGGACGTGAAGACGGCATTTCTTCACGGTGATATAGAAGAAGAAATATATATGGAGCAACCAGAAGGGTTCCAAGCTCCAGACCAAGAAGACATGGTATGTCAGTTGAAGAAGAGTCTCTATGGCTTGAAGCAAGCACCTCGGCAGTGGTACAAGAAATTTGAATCATTCATGACTAATCATAAGTTTGAAAAGACAGATGCCGACCACTGCGTATTTGTGAAGAGGTATGAGGCCGGAGATTTTCTGATTTTGTTGTTATATGTTGACGACATGCTTATTGTAAGGAAAGATAAATCGAGGATAGCCGCCCTGAAAAAGGCGTTGAGCTCGTCCTTCGCAATGAAGGACCTCGGCCCTGCAAAGCAGATTCTCGGAATCAAGATCATCCGAGATAGACATAAGAAGCTACTGTGGCTGAGTCAAGAGAAATATATTGAGAAGATACTGAAGAGATTCAGTATGGACAAAGCCAAAACAGTGAGCACCCCCCTTGCCGGACACATAAAGCTGAACCAGAAGCAATGTCCGAGATCTGATGAAGACAAAGATGAGATGATGAAGGTCCCGTACCAATCCGCCGTCGGAAGCTTGATGTATGCAATGGTTTGCACTAGACCCGACTTGGCGTATGCTGTTGGAATGGTAAGCCGGTATTTGTCAAACCCCGGCAAAGAGCACTGGGAAGCAGTGAAGTGGATCTTCAAGTACCTCCGAGGTTTGACAGACTTATGTCTCCGATTTGGAGAAGGCAAAGCCGAGTTGCAAGGATACTCAGATTCTGATTTAGGGGGAGACCCCGACTCGAGGAAGTTGACTACAGGATATTTGATGAGATTTGTCGGAGGAGCTGTCTCTTGGCAATCAAGACTTCAGAAATGTGTTGCACTATCTACAACTGAGGCTGAGTACATTGCCGCTACTGAGGCAAGCAAAGAGATGTTGTGGATGAAGAAGTTCCTCATGGAACTTGGCCATGATCAAGACAAGTACGAGTTGGGTTGTGACAATCAAAGCGCAATCCATCTTGCGAAGAATTCGACCTATCACTCCCGCACTAAGCATATTGATGTGAGGTATCACTGGATTCGGGATGTGGTGGAAGGTGGTGAGCTCGAACTCGTCAAGGTGCACACTGACCAAAATTGGTCCGACATGATGACAAAGCCGGTTCCAGCAAGAAAATTTGAAGACTGCTGTGAAGGAGCCGGGTTGATGCTGAAGTCGACGCATTGAAGTCGGAGGGGGAGATTTGTTGGGCTTCCTCCTTCAATGCTAAGCTCAAGCCCATTTGAGGGGTTTCCTAAAAACCCTAACCCCAATTTCCACCTCCTCTATATATACTCATTAGTTGAGGGTGGAGGCTAGGTTAGATTTGAGAGGTCAGATTTGAGAGAACAAATTTGAGAGAATTATTTGATTGTTTGAGCAAGGCTTTTATGCTTTGCATTTGAGAGATCTCTAGAGAGAGTTTGAGTGAAACATCTCTAGGGTAGTTTGATTATTACCGTTGTTGGAGAGGTTGAGTTAACCACCACATTGGTGTATTTGATTATATGTACCCATTATTTTCATAGTGGATTTCTGATCTGGACTAGGTCCCGTGGGTTTTTATTTTCGTTTTGATATTTTCGCTGCGCTACCCGACCTAGTGAAGTTCCGGCTGAGGTATTGCCGAGATCCGAGATCAAGATCGTGTTGATTGACTTCCGCACTAAGACTGCTTAGCCGAGCTTGAGAGAACCGAATTTTCCCAACAGCGTCTCTCGAAGAGGATCAAATTCTTCGTCTCGAGAAAGTTGAGCGAATCGCGTTTGAAAAGTGCCGCGGTGGCAGGATCGTGGCTTCAAAGTTCATGGAACCGAAAACGAAACAAAACGCGGTCGTTTCGGCAAAGAAGGTCGAAGAAACTCAGAAATCGAAGGTTGTTAATTCTCGTCGAGGCACGTGTGTCCGGCCAGCTAAAATCGTTTCGCGTGTTTTGCCGCCGCCGCTGCCTCCTCAGCCGCCAAGGAAGGTGTTGTTCAAGGAAGGGGGAAAATCAGTGTCTGTGAGTAATAAGAAAGGGGGTTTGAAGCAAGGGAGGGTTGTTGCGAGCCGTTATAATGATTATAGTGAAGCGAAGAAGAGGTCACTGCCTGAGAGTAACAATGGAAGTGAGGTTGTTAATATGAAAGCGAGGGTTGTTGCGAGCAGTTATAACAAATCAAGTGAAGTGAGGAAGAGAGCATTGCCTGAGAGTAACAATGGTTATGGAAGTGAGGTTGTTAGGCTGAAGAAGAGGTGGGAGATTCCTTCTCCTTCGCAGGTTGTTAATTGGATTAGAACGCTTCTCCGCGTGGTGGTAATGATAATGAGAGTCCATGAGATTCTTGTCCTGCAAAAAAGAGTTGTTGAATTGACAGGGGCGCGGTCTTATTTTTGAACTGATGAGAATGTTGAAGGATCTGTTTCTCAAGTTCTGAGTTTTGCTTTGCTGAAGAAGAAGAAGAACGGTAATCAATTAATTGTATTTAGGGTTTTAAATTTTGGTTTGAGGTTGCTGTCTTTGGCAGATTGCAATTATGTTGCGACTGCATCAAGTGTGATATTGGTTTTTTTTGTTCTTGCTAATGTAGATATGGGTCAAACCAAATGTGACTTGCTCTGAAATAATAGGCTAAACATTTCTCGTTCTTTGTAATTGTATATCATTTCTTCTTAATATTCAATGAGGAAAATGAGTGTCTCATTCATTTTTATTTGATATTGCTGATGACTGTTTTCTTGTTTCTTGGAAGAGTGTCTTTTGGTATTTGTTATTTTTTAGGCTTTGTGTATATGGACTTGGGCTAATCCATCCATGTTTTTTTCAAGTGGATTCTGTGGTTTGTTTAGGGGTTTGTTATTTATTTAGGTTCTACCCATGGACACCAGAGTCAACTGCATTTACATGTGTTACTTCCTCTGAAATAATGAGATCTTCCACTTAGTTGTTCTGTTTGCAATGGTGGGTTCGTGAATTCTATGCTTGTGAATGAAATTAGAGAGGACAATTAGTTATAAAAGAGGAAAGTCCAAGTAGTAAATAGGGAGCTGATGGAAAAAGAATTAGAGAGGACAATTAGTTATAAAAGATTCCATGTGGCAAGTCATAAATGCAGAGGAAAATATGCAAGGTTGTGGGGAATCGCAAAGAACAGGGGAAATATAAGATAATTGGGGCCGTGAGAGGAAAAATTTCTTCTGTGTAGTAGGATTAGGAGTATCCAAGTCTGTAATTCTTTATTTCTAAATGAAAAAAAATTTCTCCCATTTAAATCTAATTTTTAATTTGTATTTCTATTTAAGTTTCAAATTTTTTCTAGGATATAGGCACATCCGTAGTATCAAACTTGTTTTCCATGAGACTAGGTATGCAAAAAGTTTTCCAAGTGATTGGTCCCCCAATTTTAAATTCTGATTGTGATAATGATTTGTTTGGTTCTTGCTAATATAGATATGGGCCAAACCAAATTTGTATGAACAAAAGAACTCCTAATTGAAGGCTGCGTTTGAATGACAGGTACTGATTTTCTGAGAGCTGGTGCAAATGTCCACTGAAGTGGTTCTTTAATGTTTATATTTTGCACGATTTCTTTCATTGTAAGTTGTCTGTCTTTGATTTCTTTCTTGTTGCCTTAATAGGTAAAGGACTTATACAACCTTATGCTTCACCGTGCTTATTTAACTATTAGATTAGGTTTCATTCAGTTTTGTGAAATGTGAACAAATATTAACCCCGTAAGTTTGAGTCACCAAAGATTTTATTATCATTTGTTCATTCTTGGTTCTCTCCATCTTTTTCTTCAAAATTGTTCTGTTTCTATTCTTGCTAACCATAATTACATTATCCTTTTAAAAATCAAATGACCAAATGAATGAAGCCAATTGCCTGAAAAACCAACATTTACTTCTGGTTGAGGCCTTTTTCACAGTTAGTACTTTAGCAATATAGGAATTAAGAGCTGATAAATGTTAACGACTTTAAAATCATAATTATCAATATTTGACTTGACTGCTCTCAGCCATTACTCAAGTGACTTCATCTCTAAACGTCAACTTATGCATGAGTAATCACTTTCTTCACACTACAATACTTTCGTTTTTAGAGGCCTTCAACAATAATGCCAGTGTCTTATATACTTCCTACGGGATAAAGATTTAGTTCTAGATTTTGTTTGAGGGCACAACGTTTCAGCCTCAACAGACTTTGGTCATTAGATATTGAATTTGTCTTCTAATTATGTACAGTGTATGTACTTGTATCCTTATTGTTATTGCTGATGTGTTGAGTATTTGTCTATTACTATGGGTTTATTCTCAGATAAATACTCCTTTGTTAAAAGAAAGAGTAAACACTATTTTTGGTCCCTGGCAATATCTACGAAATCTTTTTTAGTCCCTGGCAATAAAAAAGGACCAAATTGGTCCCTAACAGTACGTAAAAAGGGCCACGTTAGTGACTGAGGAGTTGACATAAGGACTAACGTGACCCTTTTTTCATAATTTTAGGAACCAATTTGGTCCTTTTTTATTGTCAGGAACTAAAAAGGATTTTATAAATATTACCAGGGACCAAAAAGGGTGTTTACTCTAAAAGAAAATATGACACCACTTTTTTTGGTCTGAGACCTCTGGTATCCAATTATTTCAACGAGAGATTGTATACATCCATTTCCCCTTCCACAACATAAAAGTGCATGACTAAAAGAAATAATACAATTTTATACATTTGATGTGGAAAAAGAATTTACGTTGCGTAAGAATGAAATAACTTCAGAGATAAACGGTAAAACACGAGTTAGCAACATGTACTTGCCCCATCCCCTACTTCAACCTTCAATAAAAACAAAAACAAATCACTCCCTGATAAACTTGACTAGCGAGTGTGGGGTGGAGGTAATCCTTGTACGCAGCTTTATCCTTGTATAATTGCAAAGAAGCTGTTTTCTGGATTCGAACTCATGACCTTTTAGTCATGAAAGAACAGCTTTACCAGTACTCTGGTTCGCCCCCTTTACTTCAACCTTCAATAGCCAAAAAAAAAAAAAAAAAAAATTGAATTGGCCCATTTTATATGAAAAATTATACCTATAGGCCTAAACCGTAATTGTATCCTAAAAATTATACCATTTTAGGATCCACTTCTTATTGCCTTCTCTATATCCCTGGTTCCACGTAAAAGCTCATCAATCCAATCCAAATAAATGGGACAATCCAACATATAAGGGTCACATTCGTTAAATATGGTCCTATTTGGGAGAACATTAAGAAAAAGAAAAACCTATACTTTGTTTTTTTTCTTCATTATAAAGACTTCAAAAATCAAACTTGTTTCTCATTTCAATAGATTATTCAAAAATACTAAAGAGAAAATATCATTTGTATGTTAAGAAGAAAAAGCATTTTTATATATAAAACTATTAAATATAAACATACATGTTTGAATTTTGGATTGAGGTAAAAATTGAATTTCGAAGGGATTGCATTAACTTTTAGTTTTTTTTTTTTTCAGAAGTTGGGAATTTTGGCTTTTAAAAAATGTCATTTTAACTTCTACTTTTTTTCAAAAGAAGCTTCCAAATATACACATAATTCAAAAAAAAATATCTTACAAAGAATAATCCATGTAAATAGGCTCTAAATTCCTTCGTAAACTCTTAGAAATTCAGGAAAGAGGCTAGACGAGAGACTCTTAAACTTTGACAAAGTCATCATGCTCCTATGACAGCAATATAAAAAAGAGCTGTCAAAATGGTCAGTCCATCCTATTAGATCCTAGTCACACGAGTTAGGGCCAAACGGCCCACAATAATAAATGCCCGCAAGAGCCAAAAGCATTATGTGCTATGGCCAGCCTCGCAGACCATTCAAAATTATAATTTCAAAAAATTTATTTTTTTTAACATATTTAGTACATACAAATTTATTTTTACAAACTAATATTTAACACTTTAATAAATATTTTATTTAAAGAATAAATTTTTCGTAATTTAATTATGTTTATTAAAATAATATTTGTACACAAATATACAAGTAAAAATGTAAACAAAATTTTAATATAAGTAAATATTTAATTTTACTGTATTTGCTAAGTTTTGCTGTTAAAGGATGCCATCAAATTATTTTTTCACCGGGAGTCATGACAACACCATTCCTGATAGCAATTCTAGAGAAAAACCAAAAGAAATGATGAAATAATTATCTTCATGTACAAACATTATTGACTAAAATAATTTTTCCATCGTTCCTTTTGGTTTTTCATTAAAATTGTTGTAAGAAATGGTGTTATTATGACTCCCGGTGAAAGATCATCATGTGATGGCATCCTTTAATAAAGAAACTTAGCAAATATAGTAAAATTAAATTTTTACCTATATTAAAATTTTGTTTATATTAAAATAAACAAAATTTTCATATAAGTAAAAATTTAATTTTATTATATTTGCTATGTTTTGTTGTTAAAGGATGTCATTATGTGATGATTTTTTCAGCGAGAGTCATAATAGCAACACCATTCTTGATAGCAATTCTAGTGAAAAACCAAAAGGAATGATAAAATTATCTTGACACCAGCATTCAACAACTATTTTTAGTATGTTATATGTTTGAAAATTAAATCATTGATTTTCTTCAATTATTACCATTATACAAAACTTTTTACTTATTATTATCCATAAAACTACCAATGTGCATTTTATACAGTATATGTTTTGGTGCAAATTTGGATATACAAATATGTTTAGACGTCAATAGAAAATTTTATTTTTATTGATGCGCAAATGAAATTCTCTGCTGAAACATTTATCACTTATCACTGTTGAAAAATTTTATTTTATTTATATTATGTTTATGATTTATTTTTCATAAATATTTAAATTTATATACTTTTTATATTTACTTTTTTATTATTTAAATTGAAAATTTTGTTGAAGGAAAAAATTTGGCCCATGGATAAGCCTAACCTAGCCCGTTGAGTCACACGGGGTTAAGGCTAAAAAAATGTCCTACCAAAGGAAAGCCCTAAAGGATTAGGGTTAAATATAGAATTTTGAGGGTTGGCTCGCAAGCTTCATCCATATTTGACAACTCTAGCATTGTGCGGTCTAACTTGCAATGGTTCCAAATTCTACTCAAATCATTAGCCATGTCAAGAGAAGCCTAGAGGAGGAGCAATTCATTGTTGCCTTAATGTATTTTTGTGACATTCCTTCTCCGATTTCTTTCAGAATAACTATGACTTTATCTTTCAGTCCCTCAGCAATATATCACCTAACCAAGACTGTTAGGACATGAATATCAGGGTGCAAACCTTAGAGACTTCATAGCATCAACCTAACTATCCCATCTTTTTATATCCAAATTTATTTTATAAGTATGTTCTATTCATTCTCGAAATTATTTCTTCTTTTAAAATATTAATATTTTATTTATTATCATATTTGTGTTTATGTATATAATATAAGTCTCTAATACCATTTATGATAATTTTAATTAAAGAAAATACTTGTAAAAGTTGTTTTTATTAAAAACCTTATTTTTAGGTTGAAATTTAAAAAAAAAAATTATATATTCACAAATACATTTTAGCTTTGCTTTTTAAACTTTTATTTTTACCTTTAACTTATAAATAGTGTTTAGTTTAAAAGACTGCATCAAATAAGCTTTTAGTTATAAAGCTCTCATATACTTTTATTGTTTCAAAAACTAAGTTATTCAGAGAAAAAGTATATTAATAATTTATAACATGCAACTTCTAAATTGAATTCCACCTTGATCATACCAATACAAATCGGGCCACACGTGGTTGAACTTAGTCTGAATGTATTCTAATGGTAAACACATGATCACTTATGTTCTCTATGGGATTGTATCTCAGGTTAAAGTTGGAGTTCTTATGGGAATTACACTTTAGTGGAAACAAAGAGAGTGGATCCTGCAAGGTATAAGTAGAGGTGTAAATGGATCAAACAGCCTATCATGGATCTGCTACCCAGCCTGACTTAGCATATTTAGTAAAAGAGAAAAAGCTTAAACCTTTAAAAAAAAATGGAATATAGGTCATAGGCCTACTTTTGTAGGGACTAACATAGAAGCCTATAGGACAGTCAATACTGTATTATTTATTTTAATTAAAATAAAATAAAATAACTATTTAAATATTGAGTAAATACCCTTTTGAGTCCCTAACAAAAAACACGGTCGCCACTTTAGTTCCTTACCAAAAGAAAAAATCCTTTTGGTCCCTATAAAATTTAAAGTGGACCCAATTAATTGAAATCGTGGTCCCTCACAAATTCAAAAAAGATCCATATTAGGTATAGAAGACTTGATTGACCCATATTAGGTATAGAAGACCCATATAATCAACAAAATAAATTTATTTTATTTATTTTTTCTAATTCTTAATAGGTATAGAAGACTTGATTGACTTAACTAAGCTAATAGGCTCATGTAAGACATTTTGATTTTTAAATATAACTCAAAGCATGCTCAGAATATTTTACACTCCCTGACCTATTTAAACCAATGCCCAGCCTGATCCAGCCTATTTATAGCACTACCTATAAGGCACTTCGATGCTCAAGTCAGTATTTGGATAATATGTGCAGTTAGAATATAAGAAGACGATCATACCTAAATTTTGGCCTCTGTATTTATACTACATGACATGTTCTACTCATTTGTTTGTATGACCGCCTATGTATGGCGGTTTGGTTGAGAAACTTTTTCATGAGCTAAGAGGGCTTTCACAGCCTACTTCTACCTCTGGGATGCCTCATGGTGAGTCATCTCGAAAGAGTTAAGCTAAAGATTGTTTTATGCCTTTCTACACCATATATTAAAGCTTGGATGGTATCTTAAACCAAGTTAGAACGATAAGCATCAATAACTCTTCCTCTAGCACTAAATATTGATTCTGATGCTTCTACAGAGATTGGTATAAAATCTTATGCCTCCCGAAGGTAGTATTGGTGGGGATCAAACCTAGGTCCTTCCGCTACCTACTCAGCTCAAATGCACAAATCGAACTATCACCATTTGGTACTACTATATTATTTAATTTAATTTAAAATAATGTAGGTTTATAGGCACGACATGTTAAACAAAAGCATATATCCTGCTTTCTAAATAGGCTTTTTTAAAAGCTTAGGCAGGTTCTATTTCACTATATAAAATAGGTCGAGTCTAGCCTGATATATGCTAAATTGTATGCCCTGTAGTCTAGCCTGTCTCACTTACACCCTTACTCGAATGCACATTTAGGGCATGTTTGGTGCATAGTATAGGATAAGACCTGATAGTATAAGGCCTGATTGTATAAGACCTGATTGAATTTTAATAATTTCCAGTGTTTGGCACGGTATTGTATAAAATAATATATTGTATATGACAATATCATCTAGTATTTGATAATGCACTGTATAATACTATATATGATAAAAATAAATATTTTTAATAAAAATATCTTTTTTATAAAGAATTTATATAATTCTTCAAAAATTGTCATATGATATTAATTTTTATAAAAATTTATTGATCAATGTGTCCAAAATATAAATTAATTTTTATAAACATAAAAATATTCAATATTTTAAAATTAGTATATTGAAAAATTAATTTTTATTTTAATAGATTAAAATTAAAATAATATATTAATTTTTGAGAATTACATTGGTCAACGATATTAATACATCAATCTCTTATCAGGCCTTATCCATTGCTCTTAGGCCGGATTAAGTTATACATCATTTTGATGTATTAAGGGATTATGTTGTATAAGCTTATACTATACGATGGTCACACCAAACAACTGAAAATGTCATAACGTATAGTATAAGCTTATACTATTATGCCTTATACGTCACACCAAACAGGTCCTTAGTGGGGTTGAGGCATATGCGCCGAGCTCTGAGCTGCTCAAATATTTTTTTCAGGTCAGTCATATGGTCTTCTGGCTTTAGTGATTTCACAATTAAATTTTAGGGGTGTTCGCGGTCTGGATTGGATCGATTTTTGAAGCAAAAATCATTATATCCAATCCCTTCGGTTTGATAAAATAATCATTCATTCGGTTTGAAATTTTTTTCAAATCCGATCCGATCCAATCCAATTTTTTTCGGTTTAGATTGGATCTATTTTCGATTTTTTGAAAATCTTAAAATTTATTTCATGATTATTGTGCAAATAACATTTTTTGTATATATTGGCTTTGTAAATTTTTTTTTTTTTAAATACAAAAGCATTAGTAAACTATAATATGATTTTTTTTTTTTTAGTAATGAGATAAGAAGTTCTACAAAAATAAAATTTTGTTGATGAGATGTGACTAGATTTTTTCTTGGGTCTAGTTGATGGGTTAATGAATCTTTGATTTAGAAATTTTTGGGCTATGATTGAAAAAAGACCCAAATAGGAGAATTAATATATTGGATCGGTTTGGATTGGATCAGTTTTCATCAACCCATCCAAAAACCGATCCAATCCAATTAAAATTTGCGATTTTTTTGTTTTCGATTTTTCGATTTTCGATTTATTCGGTTATCAATTTTTCGGTTTGGTCACCGCGGTTTAAATCGGTTTGGATCGGTTGATGAACATTCCTATTAAATTTCGTGCCTCAATTTTATTTTATTTTACTAGGTGACAAACCCAACATGCTTTATGGGTCAGTGGATAAAAAACTTCTCCAGGAGAAACTTTTATCCCTTACTTTTATTGCTACTTTTCAACAATCTTTCCCTAAATGTGACAAGAAGAATAAATGGAATCAGCAATAAAACCATGAAGACTATCGCTAGAAAGAATCAATAATAGAACGACAACCTTGACATAAATTTATCCTTAAACCCTGATGATGGGAGCAAGAATAACAAGACTTTTTTGCATAGTCACTAAAACAGCTTTTAGATTTCCTCTTGTCCCTGTAGTTTCAAGCTTTAGGCTGCCCAATTAAAATGAAAGCATGAACCAGGCTCTGAGCCATGTGAATTTGATTTGGTGCTCCAGACACAATCACAAGACCTTCAGTGGCCCCAGGTTTTGGATCATTAACCACCACGCTTGCACCAGAGAACTGAGGAAAACCCAAAGGTCAATCAATACACTCAATGTCAAAATCAACATCAACTTTATTCCAAACACTACTAAGACAATTTCTAGCAAACCATAAGAAATGAATCAATAATCAGACATATAGACAGACCTGTCGAATCTCATTTAGGTTGCTATTGTTATCCCCATACACGTGGGTTAAATAAATACTTGGGATGGTGATCTCAACAGTTGAGCTATTTGGATTCTGCAATGAGTTTCCATTACTGGAAATTACACAGATACCACTATAAAACATTAGGTACAGCACCCACTTTTTAATTAATGTGGAAAGGCAAAAGGACCTATCAACTTATATAAAATAAATAGTCACTTTATAAGAAACTCCGAAACTCACTTTCCAGGAGTCCCATTTCTTGAAGCCAAACTAGAATTATCAGCTGTTCCACCTGGATTTCCTCTGTTAACTGCCTGAAATACAAACCTACAGGGTTATAACATCATTCTTTAACGCACAAAGGGTGGGCATGCGTGGGGTGCGATGAAGCAAAAGAAAAGATAACACCCGCACCTTTCCAAAAAAAACACAAGAAAATGTTTAGACCATATAGATGAAGATCCCCAGGCATTAAACCCTGAAAGTGAAACTGACCTGAGGATTCCATGATCTTGGAGAATTTGGTCCTTCATACCCACGAGGATAGGGAACTCGATCCATGTTTGGCATACCACGACCCATACTATGTGTAAATGGATGCTGATCGACAGGCATTGAGGGAATAGGTGAATGGTCAATCCCATGAGGCCCAACTTGAGGAGGAGGGTGGCCAGAGGACATCAAGTGATTTCTTGGCCTATATAAAGGAGGAGGCATTTCTGAAAATTGTGGCAAATGTGGTGGTGCACTAAAATTTGGAGGGGGCTTTATTGGGAAAATGGTTTCTCGAATTCTGCTGGTTATGTGAAACAAAGCATCTTGCACAGATTGTAAGGTCCCAATAACCTGCAAAGGAACACAATTTATTAATATTTTCAGACCCTACCAACCTCCTTGAACAGAAGACTGAAATTTAAAACACAAATCTACAGAGTACACGTGTAGGAGCAAACAGAGCTAAAATCATCATTTTCCCTTTAGTAACTAAAGTATGAGACTGATAAGATCTAGCTCAGAATACAACTTAAAAAGAACTCAACAAGTTTTTGGTCCAGAAAGGATTCTTTCCAGGTTTTTGTCTATTTATTGATGAATTAAAAGCATTACAATGAAGGAATTTCTACGGACACTCTTCTACCCCTTAACATTTGATACAAACAGAAATGATGAATACAAAGGAAAAGAAACTTCACCCAGCACTTTCGAGAGGTGCAGACTCTCCCATTCCAAGTCTAATTTTCCACCCAAACTTGAGTTGGTATTGGTAAAGGATGTAAGAGGCCTGCTGGAGAAAGATTTTGGTTTTTATTCTGCTGACATATAGCACAAGCAGCCACAAAATCTTTGATCTGCCTTCTCATTCCTTCCTAGTACACTAGTGCAGCAATCCTCTTATAGGTACGCAGGAAACCAGAATGTCCCCCAACACAAGAGTTACGAAATTCTTCTAATATAAGAGGAATGAATTTGGAATGGCGTGGGAAAATCAACCTTCCTTTGAAGAATAAACGGCCACCACTCAATGTGAAGTCAGCATGTGAACCCGGATCAGCAAGCAAGTCATGCATAATGGCTCTCAATTTAGCATCCGCTTGTAAGTCCTCTTCAAAAGTGTCATCCCCTACTGGAACTACACAAGTCAAGGCAGAAAAGTGTTCCTGATGAGAAAGCACATCAGCAACTACATTCTTTCGCCCTGGTTGATATTGTATCTCGAAGTCATATCCCAAAAGCTTGGTAACTCATCTTTGTTGTTCTTCACCCAATACCCGTTGCTCCATCAGAAATTTCAAGCTTTTCTGATCTGTTTTAATGATAAATTTCCGCCCCAACAAGTACGGTCTCCACTTCTGAACTGCAAAGACAATAGCCATAAGTTCTTTCTCATAGATTGACTTCTCCTGAGCCCGTTTAGAAAACCCTTGGCTAATGAAACTGATTGGTCGACCCTTTTGCATTAGTGCAGCTTCTACCCCACGTCCAGAAGCATCCGTGACCACCATAAAGGTTTTGGTGAAATCAGGTAAGGCAAGTACTGGAAGAGTAGTCATGGCTGTCTTGAGTGTGTCAAACGCTAGCTGAGCGTGTTCATTCCAAATAAATCCATCTTTCTTTAATAAGTCAGTCAATAGATTGGCTATCTTCCCATAGCCTTGCACAAATTTACGATAATAACCCAACCTGTGAGACCTAAGAACCCTCTCAATGATTTAAGATTCTTTGGAATCTGCCACTGAAGCATTGCTTCAACCTTCTTTGGATCAGCACATACTCCGTTTTGAGAGATAAGATGGCCCAAATATTCCACCTGCTGCAAAGCAAATGAACACTTCTTACGATTTGCCACTAGACAATTGCTTCTTAATGCATCAAACACCATCTGGAGACGTTGCACATGTTCTGTTCGACTGCTGCTATAGATGAGGATATCATCAAAGAACCCCAACACAAATTTACGGAGAAAGCGTTTTAAAACCTCATTCATCAAAGAATTGCAAGTGGAAGGAGCATTGGTGAGCCCAAATGGCATCACCACATACTAATAATGGCCTTCATGTGTGCTGAAGGTTGTTTTTGGTATGTCCTCCTCCTTTATTCTGATTTGATGATACCCAGATTTGAGGTCTAATTTGGAGAACACCTTAGATCCCCCCAATTAATCCAAAAGCTCCTCAATTACAGGAATGGGAAACTTGATTGGAACAGAGATTTTATTCAAAGACCTGTAGTCCACGCAAGCTCTCCAACTTCCATCTTTTTTTTTCACCAAAATTATAGGACAAAAGTATGGGCTCTCACTTGGCCTTATTAAACCCGAATGCAGCAACTCAGATACCAGTTTTTCAATTATGGTTTTCTGATAATAAGAATACCTGTAAGGCCGTATATTGGGTATTGCACTATCTACCTTGAGAATAATGGCATTATCCTGTCATCTCTTTGGTGGAAGTCCCAGTGGTTCTTGAAAAATAGAATGAAATTCACTCAATAACGCCTCCAGTTCAGGCCACAACCCCTCAGCATCTGATTTGCTTTCCTTCTGCCAATGTTGATCCACCACAAACCCCTGTCGTGCTTCAGATAAAGCTTTGACCATGGAACGAAGAGTTGTCATAGACGTAGTGTTTGACAGAAACGGATCTCCTCGCAACGTGACCTCTTGCCCCTCCACACAAACCTTTAATATTAGATTGCAAAAATCATCCTTCATTTCTCCCCAACTCTTCAGCCAATCAAGCCCCAAAATAACTTCAGCTCCCCCTAATTCGAAAAGAAATAAATCATGGCATGATTTTGCTACCTGAACATCAATGTTGACGTTTCGACAAACCCCCTGACATTGCACCTTGTATCCATCCCCCACCACCACATTGTAAGTGGGTGTATCCTCCACCGTGAGCTTTAACCTTTCAGCCACTGTGCGTTCCACAAAATTTCACGAGGCCCCACTATCCACCATCATCACCAAACGCTCTCCTTATATTGACCCCCACAACTTCATGCTTTGGTTCGAAGAGAGCCCCAGTACGCTAAATGTTGACATCTGAAAAAGGACTTCGTCTTCTGTAGGAATTTCAACCTTAACCACATCCCCTTGCCTGGTTTTATTGTCTTCGTCTCCCTCCTCTTCGTCTTCGATAATCAGAAGATTCAACTGCGAGATTTTGCAACGATGGGAGGGATTCCATTTGACTCCACACTTGAAACACAGGCCCTTCCTTGAACGCTCATGGAGTTCCGCCTGAGGTAGTCGACGGCTCTCCACCTTTGTAGCTTGGCTTCCAACACTCTCTGTCCCTTGAGCAACTCCCATCGTCTGATTAGGGTTCCCAAATGCATTCGTAGTTATATGTGTGTCCGTTCTAGCTGAGTTCAAGTTTGTCCTCGTGTCACCAACATTGCCAGCATGAGTTAATTGATTCACGTGTCTGGCACCTGAGGACTGCATTATATTTCTATTGGGCTGATTAATGCGATTTAGCCCACCCCATTTCGCACCATATCCAAACCCGTTTAGCCCAAACCCATCCTGAATCCAAGATTGGTTCCTCTTTTCCAACGCTGTCGTTTCCTTCATCAGCTCCCCCAAAGTTCGTAAATCCTTCTGTAATAACTCAGTTCTTAATCCTTCATTCAAACCATGGAGCCAGATTTCCCTTAACATGTGGTCATCAGCGTAATGGAGAGGACTGATGATCCGTTCAAACTCAGTTCGAAACGACGCGATACTTCCAGTTTGCCGAAGATTCATCGGCTCATGATAAGGACCTCCCAACGTGTCTGCTGTGAACTGCTCCAGCACCTCCTCTCTGAAATCCCCCCAAATGGCATTGGGATGATTACGTTCCTAAACCTAAAACCAATTGAGAGCAACACCATCCAAAACGATCATGACAGCATCAATCTTGTCTTGATCTCCAATTCAATTGACCAGAAAATAGTGTTCCACCCTCGTCAACCAAGAATACACATCGTCTCCACTAAATCTGGGCATGTCGAGACGAAGTGCCCGTCTGTCCACCACTGGTACTTCTCTATTATCTCCATATTTCGATGCCACTGGAGTGGGACTTCGCCACCGAGAACTCCCACAGCGACGACGTCCTCCCTGAGCTGGGTTGTCTCTGTTTTGTCGATCCAGTTGTAACAACTGAAGAAGCTCGCGATGATGTTCATCAGCGAGTTTTTCGTTCCGACGGAAACGTTCCTCGATGGCTTCAAATCTTGCATCCATATTGCGCGTCAAAACCATACACTCCAAGAAGAGACACAGACGGCGCCAATTGATAAGATCTAGCTCAGAATACAACTTAATAAGAAGAACTCAACAAGTTTTTGGTCCAGAAAGGATTCTTTCCAGGTTTTTGTCTATTTATTGATGAATTAAAAGCATTACAATGAAGGAATTTCTACAGACATCCTTCTACCCCTTAACATTTGATACAAACAGAAATGACGAATACACTTGAGATTAAAGAATAATTGTATATTGAATAATTGTAGTGTATTACAATGTACAAGAGCTCTCTATTTAAAGAGACTAAAAGACCTAATAGGCTGAGCTCATACGATGTGGGACTATATATATATACTGAACTATGTTTACAACTATTCTAACACTCCCCCTCAAGCTGGAGCATATATATTGTAAGCACCCAGCTTGCCACAAATATATTCAACCCGAGGACCCCTAAGAGCTTTAGTGAAGACATCCGCAAGTTGATCATTGAAGTTGACAAATTCCGTTTTGATTTCTCCTGACTGAATCTTTTCTCGAATGAAATGACAATCGATCTCTATATGTTTGGTTCTCTCATGAAATACAGGATTAGAGGATATATGTAGTGCAGCTTGATTGTCACAAATGAGAGTCATGGGTTTCTTCTGTTCACAAAGATGGAGCTCCCGAATCAACTGCTTTAACCAGATTAGCTCGCAGGTAGCAACTCTCATTGCACGATACTCGGTCTCTGCACTAGATCGGGCAACAACAGTTTGTTTCTTACTTTTCCAAGAAATCAGGTTTCCTCCAAAGAAAACACAATAGCCTGAAGTAGAGCGCCTATCCGAGGGTGATCCTGCCCAATCAGCATCTGAATAACCACAAATTTCTGTATTTCCCTGATCTGAATATAATAAACCTTTCCCTGGTGCTCCTTTGATGTAACGAAGGATCCTAACAGCAGCATACCAATGAGAATCACACGGAGAATCAAGAAACTGACTAGCGACACTAACAGCAAAAGAAATGTTCGGCCTAGTCACAGTGAGATAATTGAGCTTCCCAATCAACCTCTGATAACGTCCAGGATCAGATAATGGTTCTCCTTGTCCGGGTAGTGATTTATAGTAGGATCAATGGGTGTGTCAACTGGCTTACACGCCAACATACCAGTCTCTTCTAGGATATCCAAGGCATACTTCCTTTGACAGATAGAAATGTCCTGTCTAAATTGTGCTACCTCAATTCGCAAGAAGTAATGCAGCTTCCCGAGGTCCTTTGTCTGAAATTGACTGAATAAATACTGTTTTAAGTGACGAATTCCAATTTGATCACTCCCGGTGAGGATGATGTCATCAACATAGACTAACAAATAGATGCACTTATCAGGAGATGTGATCCTATAAAACACAGAGTGGTCAACTTTACTGCGAATTAAGCCAAACTCCTGAACAGCAGAACTGAAGCGACTGAACCATGCCCGAGGAGACTGCTTGAGACCATATAAGGATTTGCAAAGACAACACACCTTCCCAGACTCCCCCTGAGCAACAAAACCCGGTGGTTGCTCCATATAAACTTCTTCTTGTAAATCACCATGAAGAAAGGCATTTTTTATGTCAAGTTGAAGGAGTGGCCAGTGACGAATAGCACCAAGAGCAAGAAATAGGCGAACTGACGCCATCTTAGCGACCGGAGAGAATGTATCACTATAATCAAGGCCGAATATTTGAGTAAAACCCTTTGCAACTAGGCGGGCCTTGAGTCGATCAACATGGCCATCAGGTCCAACTTTCACAGTAAACACCCAGTGACAACCAACTATAGACTTCTCTGGAGGAGCAGAAACAAGGTCCCAAGTGCCATTGGAATGAAGTGCAGTCATCTCATCAAGCATCGCTTGGCGCCACCCTGGATGGGAAAGTGCTTCACCTATGGTCTTAGGAATAGAAATAGAAGAAAGACTAGAAACAAAGGTGAAATGAGGTGAAGAAAGACGGTCATAGCTCTAAAAAGTATAAAGAGGATAACGGTTACGAGTAGTACGTGTACCTTTTCTTTGAGCAATAGGAAGAGCCTCTGGTGAAGGATCCGGAGGGGAAGAAGCAACAGCAGTGAGCGATGAGTCAGCGAGAGTCGAGTCGACAGGAGGCACAGTTTTGCGACGCTGATAGGTGAGAAGTGGACGGTCCTCAGGTATAGAAGCAATAGGTTGCTCATCTGGACTAGAAGCGCCTGCAGCTGGCAAAGACAAGTCAAGAAAAGAGACAGGAAGAACATGATCAACCTGTGACAACTGAGATGGGATAGAATTAAAAGGTTGTTGATCAAGAAAAGTGACATCAGCGGAAACTAAGTAACGCTTAAGATCGGGAGAATAACAACGATAACCCTTTTGAAGACGAGAATAACCAAGAAAGATACACTGAAAGGCTTTGGATGTTAACTTATCCTTACCAGGAGTGAGATCATGAACAAAACAAGTACAACCAAAGACATGTGGAGTTAGAGGATAAAGAGGAACATCTGGAAGCAATAGATTATGAGCAATGTCATTGTTGAGCACAGATGAAGGCATGCGATTGATGAAAAAACAAGAGATGAGTACAGCATCTGCCCAGAAGTGAAGGGGAACCTGCATATGAAGAAGAAGGGTACGTGCAGTTTCAATGAGATGTCTGCTTTTACGTTCAGCCACCCCATTTTGTTGTGGAGTGTGAGGACAAGTAGTTTGATGTAAAGTACCTTGTGCAGCCAAGAAATTAGAAAAATCAATAGAAACATATTCCTTAGCATTATCACTACGTAGAATGCGAATAGAAACACCAAATTGAGTATGAATCTCACTAGAAAACTTTTTATAAATGGAAAATAACTCAGAACGATTTTTCATTAAATAGATCCAAGTGCAACGGGAAAAATCATCAATAAAGGTAACGAAATACCGAAAACCTAAAACAGACAAGGTACGACTTGGACCCCAGATATCTGAATGAACAAGAGAGAAAGGAGCATCAGCTCGTTTATTGACTCGACTGGCAAATGAAGAACGTGTATGCTTCCTTTGTTGACATGACACACAATCTAAAGACTGAAGACCGAATAAAAGAGGAACCATTTTCTGCAACTTTGAAAGACTTGGATGACCGAGGCGACTGTGGATAAGTTGTGGAGATTCTGTGAGAGAGCATGCCACTGAAGGACGAGGCACATCCAGATAGTAAAGCCCCCGTGACTCACGACCCACTCCAATCATTTTCCCCGTACCCGGATCCTGCACAGAAACAGAATGGTTAGAGAAAGTAATGGTGCAAGTGAGGGAGTGGATCAACTTACTAATAGAAATTAAGTTATAAGGGATGCCAGGAATGTAATAAACAGATGTCAAGGCCAAGGTAGAGGTCGGACGAGCTTGTCCAATCCCACGAACTGGGGCTTTGGTTCCATCCGCAAGGGTAAAAGAAGGTAAATTATCAGAATAAGTAAGAGATGTAAAGAGTTCCTTATTACCACAGAGATGATCGGTAGCACCTGAGTCAAATATCCAAGTGCCAAGTGATGTAGAATGAGAAACACAAGCAACGAGATTACCAGTATATGGCTGAGACTGAGGAGAAGCCTTCCTAAGAAGAGTTTGGAGTGCAGCATAGTCCGCAGGTGAGAGAGAACCTGAACCGAATGATGCATTGTCTGACTGAGCTATATTTGCAACAAGAGAGGTGTCCCAATCTTTGTAGTTAACCTCTGAGAGATCAGGAGATGCTGCTGCCATTTAAAGACAAAAGATAATATCCGTAAACGAAGGCAAACGATATCCAATCAAGGAGAACCACTCGTCTAAAGTAAGACCCACAAAGAATCAAGCACAGATCCGGAAAGATGAGGAAAAACCGAGCTAGTCTGTCCAGAAACGACCGGAAAAAGACGCCGGAACAGTGCACACGCGCCAGTGAAGGGTGGCGCGTGAGCACCACGCGCAGGGAAAAGAAGCGGCGCGTGAGAGCGCGTGGGGACTCCTCTGATGACGGGTCTTCCACAGACTTGGTCACCAGAGAGAAAGGGATCTGATCGCAGGCTTTCCGGTTGAAATCGACGCCGGAACAGTGCTCTGGTGGCCTGAACAGTGACGAGCGGCGGTTGTTGGCGGCGGGAAGTGATTCTGACAGTTGAAGAAACAAGCCGGAGAGACACACGGCTTAGAGAAAAAACTCGCCGGAAGAATGCACGGCAAAGTAGAAGAGAACACCTAAGCAGTGGGCTTAGGGTTTTAGCGGAAGCGGATCCCCAGAGCGAAAAAGCTCTGATACCAACTTGAGATTAAAGAATAATTGTATATTGAATAATTGTAGTGTATTACAATGTACAAGAGCTCTCTATTTAAAGAGACTAAAAGAGCTAATAGGCTGAGCTCATACGATGTGGGACTATATATATACTGAACTATGTTTACAACTATTCTAACAAATACAAAGGAAAAGAAACTTCACCCAGCACTTTCGAGAGGTGCAGACTCTCCCATTCCAAGTCTAATTTTCCAATGCCCTTTTCCTCTCTCCTATTCTTACACTAATGCTTCTCTCAACAAACTAACACGTCACTATTCTCCTTACTCTACTACTAACAACCCATAACTGAATGACCCTCCAAAGCATGACCCTCTACACCTTCTAGAATGCCCTGCACCACATCAGCTTTATTTTTTGGTTATTCCTCTAATGCGTTTCCTGTTATAAGTACGCAACACCTTCGTATCAGAGACTTAACAAAATCCTACATGGAATATAAAAACTGCTGCAGCATAGAAAATTATTACCACATCCTCATACTCATTACAATAAGAGCAGAAGAAAGGGGGACAGACAAACTGACAAACAATCCGTTTGAACAGCTCTCTGTAGAAAATCAACTGGTAGCCTAGGACTGAAACAAAAGTTGAATAGTAGGATAACATCCATAGATTAGATTAGGCAATGAAAAATAAAAAGATAGAAGATGCTCTTTCTCAAGATATATTGAAAATCAGTGACCAAAACACAAATTAGTGTAAAAAAGAAAAGCATAAAGAAATCAAGGAAAAGAGAGAGATATATCATTTCCTAATAGCTTATTAAGTATGGGAGAAACCATAGCTTCCAACTTTTAAGCTCTCACGATTTTTATTTTTATTTTAGTTGCTTTGATTTATACTTAGCACCAAACATGTGTTTATAATTCACATGCAAATGTCCAAAGAGCCAGTTACCTGTACAACTTCTTCATTTTGGGAAATATACTTAATCTGTTCCTTTGAAAAGATTCGTATATTAGCACCTGTGGCTCTTCGCATTTCAGAGATAACAAGACCACCCTTGCCCAAGAGGCAGCCTACCTGTGGTGAACGCACAAGAAGTCTAGCAACAACTGCTGCATTTGGTTCGAATCCAATCTCTGTAAGTCGACTATGAACACGAATAACAGCTTCTTGTGCAGGAGAATGCTTTTGCTCTGGATTCTGCAGAAGGTTATATCAATTTCATTTCTTTTTCCTAGGCAAATATCATGGAAATTGAATATCATATTTTATAATTTACTGCTACAATTCTACCAAAAGATGCAAACATGTTTGCAACGAAAACTATCAATACAGGAAAGTTACCATGATTAGAATAATTCAACATCAACTCACAGTAAACAATCTGAAGATGGACCCCAGCCACAAAAATCATACAAAGGTTACCTGTTTTGATTATAGCAAAAGAACAACCATATTTTAGATTTCCAACAAAGATCACCAGAATAACTGGACACCAGAGAGCCAGCTGACAATAATCTCAAGAAACATTGCACTTGCTGGACCAGAAACCTTTCTGAGACATAGTTTACTTCCACCAAATCAAAGTTATAGAAAAAATTTAACACAAAAAATATTATAAGGTTATTGGCAATTACATGTTAAAAGCAAATCCTATGGACAACTATGGTTAAGGTGCAAGTAGAGTATTTATTTATCAAAGACAGTTAAGTTGTCGTGCCTCTCGCGCGGATATCACAACCACACGCTCATCTGAATCAGGTCCAGCATCAACAATTTGGATAGATGCACCAGTTTCGCTTTGCAGTGCCCGCACTATGGAACCACCTTTCCCAATAAGACTACCAACTTTATCATGTTGACATAATAGCTTAAAGACAACCTCCTCTTCAGCAAGCATTCTATGAGCAGGTCCTGCACTTTCAGGACCAGGAAAAGAAGCATAACCTCTTGAATGATGATCAGAAGAAGCATATGTGCCAGAACCAGATGCATAACCCCGTTGGGGATAAGGTTCAACCTGAGCAGGTGCCCCCGTTCCATGGAGCACCCCAGGCCCAGAATCCACCCTTGCATAATCCTGAAGACAACTTGAAACACAGAGGAGCGCTTTTTTTGCTGCACTAAAGTTTCCAGTTATCTGCATACATCATAAGCCACAATGTTATTTACTGTGCCAAGTGACATAGCCCATAGGAAGAAAGAGTGAAACCACTTCAAATTACAAAAGCTTATGATAAGTCATTTTATTTTTTATTTTTTGGTTAAAGTGTCATCAACCAACTCTCCCAAAAATTTAGCCGGTTGACTAAAGTCCCAATAAATGGTTGATTGACATTTTGCCCCTCTTTTAAAATTAATTTACCACTTTGCTCATCTTCCCAAATAATATATCAATCTATCACTATTTGACCAAATCTCAACCCTTAGTAAGTCATTACTCGAGCAAAATGACTCATTTACTCGAGTAAGTGTTGGTCAAATAGGAATAGATTGGCACCTAGTTTAATCTTGAGTGACATACTGATATATAGATTGAGAAGAAGGACAAAGTGGTAAATTTATTTTAAAACAAGAGCAAAATGATCAATTAACCCCGGATAAATGATATTATTATATTTCTAACACCCTCCGGCATCATATAACCATTTTTGGATTTAAAGTGTACAGATCCATTTTACCTTGAGATCTTATGCTGAAATTTAACAACTTAAACTTTTTATTATTATTATTATTAAAGCCTTAAAGGAATCAGACGTATAAAAGCTCTGGTAACGTCACAAACTAACAATCCCAAAAATTGAACGAATGATTTTTATTATATCACTAAGCTAAAAATGGAAAAGCTTTACTTTGGAAAAGAGTAATTGAGTAACACAATAATTAGCATTAGTTATGCAATATGTAATATCTCTAATTTTGACTTATATAGATTAAGGAAAAAGAAGAAGACCTGAATGAACTCATCTCCATGAGGAGGAAGAGGAGGTTGATCCTTTGGCAAAACCCTAACTTGGGCCCCACTCTCTTGCCTAATCTTCTCCACAATCTTACCTCCTCTTCCAAGCACACACCCAACCTGATAACTCGGCGCCACCAACCTACAATTAACCGTCAAATTCGAACTCTTAACTTCCTCCTCAACCATTCTCTCAAAAACCCTAATCAAAGCAAGTTGCGACGGCGACTCATCACCGCCATTGCTACCTTGTTCGCCAGTGCCCACAATAACAATGATGCGGTCTTCGCCAAATTCATCGACGAGAATCTTAGCTCCACCACCACCGAGCCCCGTTAACTCCGCCGTCTTTGCCACCGGACACATGATGCGGAAAACGGTTTCGGTTGCTGTCGGCGGAACATGGCGGCGCTTCTTGTTGCTGCTGTTGTTGGACATCGTATGAAACTAACACACTCACTCAAACAAGTAACAAAAGCATTACATCGTATGCACCTTTCTGCAAAAAATTATATCATTCTTAGTTTTTTACACACGTATAACACGACTGACATTAAATCCAATAAATACAAAATAAAGAAAGTACATGGATTTGAAATTTATGAAAAAGAAAATACTGAACGTTTTGTAAATTCTATTAAATTAATTTTCTTAATGAGTCTTGCATTAATTTCCCAATAAATAAAGTCATCATTTACTTTAAAAAAAAAAATTTGTTTTTGTCTAAAAAAAATATTTTTGTTTTCGTATTATCTTCAATTTATTTTGTCACATTGCAAGCCTGATAAGATGAAAACAAAGATTCTCGGCTCAAATTTTAAATATTGTTCCGAATGAACATTAAAGGGATGATCTTCGTGAATAATCTGTGTCTCTATTAAATTGTGTATGATACTTATATAAGATATAATTATTGGTTACTAAAAGATCGTGGGTACTTAACAATGGAACGGTTATTGAGATCGTGGCATGTTCAAAGTGTAGAACTAAATAGTAGGTTAAAACCTATATTTAGGGGTGTAAATCACGGCAGGTTTTGGCCTTCATAGTCTAGGTTTACACAAAAAATATTGAGCTTATCTGATCTATGAACCTATCAAAGCCTTAGTTTAAAAGTGAAGTTTATCCTGTTATTTAAAAATACAAAGCCTACATGGTCTATGAGGCCTTTTAGGCCTACATATTGCAAATTAAATAAATAAATAAAATTAAAATATCTCATTCATTGCATAATATTTCCAGCATGGTCCAAATTATAAAAATTCTACAACAAATTTTTTAACAAGAAGTCAAGAACACATGTTATAAAAATTCTACAACAGATTTTTTTAACAACAACAAAAATTGAATTTTTCTTGGCACTTCACAATCTTCTAATGAGCCTTCTTATCTTCCTTTTACTTTGATATACTTTCACTTTTTGAATCTGTGAAACATCATCCTCCTGCAAAATAAAGTTTAAGCGAGTGAGGAAAAAAGAGAGAAGTCCAAGAAAAATATATTAAATAAAGTCAACGTAAAATTAATTTTATCAGAAGACAGCACAAGGGAGAAAGAAAATAAACTTGGTACTTCAAATTCCACAAACCTATGCAATAAAAAAGTGAAAACTCAGAAGCTGCAGCTCATAAAGTGATAGAATCCAAGAAATCAAGAACTCAAAAATTGAATTAGGGACAAGGGAGATGTATCTGAGTGACACTGACAGTGTGCTTCCAAGAAAGCGTTGATTACAAATCTAAAGAAAACAGAACCAGCAAGAAAATCCGGATCTTCAAAGAAATCTATTCACCTGAGCCAAACCCAGTAAAGACTCAATCACACAAAACATCCGAAATCATCCAAGAAATCAATCACTCTTAGAAAAGAGTTTTTTTAATCATTAGAATTATAAAGAAAAGGAATTTAATTTTCCAAGAATGAAACAAACAAATACTTTCAAGCTAATCTGAATACATGAACTACAATTCACATATGTTCAAATACAAATTACATAAATCTGAACTAAAACACCCATTTTTTCTTTTCAATAACATAAAAAAAAAATACAGAACCAACACTAATAAACTCGAAGATAACCAATTTCTTAAGCAAAGAAGAAAACAAAAATCGAAAAAAAAGAAGCAACGAACCACTTGTAACGCATGAAATGGCCATCTAAGGGGGGCGATCTTTTGGATTCATCTTTAAACGAAACAGCACACCAAATCACCGGTGACTGATTAGGATTTATTGGATTAGGATTTTAAAAGACTTTTTTGAGATAGAAAATTCTATAGATTTTAAAAGACATTTTAGAATTACAGAAACTTTATAGACTTTTTTAAAAGACTTTTTTTACAATCAATATTTCATATGATTGAATTTTAAAGGATTTTAACATAATTCATAAGATTTGAAAGGACAATATGATGTTATCAAAAAAAAAAAAAAAAAAGGACAATATGAATTTATAGGATTTTAAAAAACTATATGAATTTTTAACAAATATTCAAAATTACAAGAGTCAATAAAAAAATAACAAAGAAATGCAATGATATTAATAAAAAAAAGTAAAGTTAACAACGAGTTGAAAATTATCTCAAAAATTACTAAGCAACAACTCTCCACGTATCAATAAAATCTAATATAATTTTTAACAAACATTCAAAATTATTAAGCAATAGCTCTCCACATATCTAGAGTTATACTAGTCCTCCAAGCATTAGCATCTTCTCGTTCCTGCTCTTGAGATTGACCAACGGGTTAAAAATTATCTTCTTCACTAACTGGTGATACTGAAGATGAAGATGCATCTATTGATTTAATTGGAAATTCATCTGAACAACAGTTTTCTTTGCGAAGAAAGTTGTGTAGTGCTACACATACTAAGATTAGAACTAGACAATAATTAAATATTTTTAAATGAGATTAATATCAACACAATTTAAAAACATGTTTATTCAAACGAGTAAACCAAACTAACATGAAATAGTTCAATCAACATGCTTGTCTTTATTAGATATTCTGGTGTTGTATGTTCTTTCTTATTACTTTGTATATAAAAAAATATAGACGAATAGTGATGAAACATAAAAAACTCTATATTATTTTGGTATTTTTTTTTGGGCAGCATAGTGAAGAAAGCCTGATACCAAAATATAGACGCACATTTTTTTTTTGGGCAGCATAGTGATGAAGCACATCATTTTTTTTTAAAAGCTCTGATACCAAAATTATTACGAATAGTGAAGAAAAATAATAATTACTATATGTTCTAACCGAGGTCATATTCAATGGTTATGATCACATGACATCTGTCTTTCTCCACCACTATGCCTTGCAATATCAATATTTTAATAAGTCAAAATTATAAAGGCCAAATCATTCACAACAAATATAAAACAATTTTTTAATCAATCAGAATTAAAAGAATTAAATAAAAAATATAAGAACCATTATTTTATGGTAGGAATCAAAACCTAAAAGAGTCAAAATCAATTTTTTAATCAATCAGAATTAATACTTTATGGTAGGAATCAAAAGACGCAGTACAAAAAAATGGGTGATTATTGGAGGTTTTTTAGTGGAGGTTAAGAAAACCTCCACTAAATAATGTAATCTTTGGCAGGTTTTAAACCTCCGCAAATTGATATTATGTTTTGCTATTTTAAATTGCTTAAAAATGCATAATAGTTTTTTTTTTTATAATTTATATTTTCTTTCTACATTTTATGAAATGCAAAAAGGTGTTTTAAAAAATTTATACTTTTTTTTTAAAAAGAAAATTTGTGTACAGCAACGTAGCACTAACTCCACTAAGCAGCTACAAAGTCTCCTCCCCCTTATTCAGAACTTCAACATTCACTATCAGATTTCTCTCTTCACAGATAACTTCATTTTCCTATGCTTCGAAACCCAGAGTCATTGGAGTTATGGTAACTCACTCGGCTTCAATTTCTTATTGTTTACTACTTAGACTTTTGAATTTTACATATCTCCTTTTTCAGATTCAAAATTTTCAAATTCATGTTTCAAATTTGAAATTGCTCCAACCTGGTCCTCGCTTTTCTCACCATCGCTAATATCCAGTGAGATCGTGAAGCTGAAGATGATTGTGAAATGATATTTGAGCCACCTGCTCGATGGAATTAGCAAGTGCTCGACATGCCATGGGTGCTTCGCGCATTAAGAGTGAGCTATCTTTGTTTTCTTATCGTTCTCATAATGCTTGTTAAACACATTTCATTCTTCTTCTTCTTCTTTATTTTTTAGTAATTTCCTAAGTTTATTCATTTATTTTTGCAGATTCTCAGGAAGTTTTCAAGCAATGGGAGTTACTGGGAGTTTCTCTTCTTCTTCTTATTTCTCTTATGTAATTGTGTTTTGCGAATGAGGTGTTCGATGAATTGACTCAATGAGATTTACTGTGATTTTGTGATTGTTTGTGTTCAGGAAAGAGGCGAGTGGACCATCACTTATGTGGACCATCAGTTATGTCTTGCACGATGCCACTGCCGTCGTGAGTCCCTATCTTCTTACCTGTGATTAGAATATATAAATGTTGATATTCGTTTCACCATTTATGATGATGTATGAGTGAATAAGAGAAGAAGAGAAGAGGGTTCTCTGTTTCATAATTCATTTGGGATGTTTCAAGACAGTGAATGTGAGAGGGAATGGATGAGAAGAAGAGTATAAAAAAAATGAGATTGCATGAGGTAGGGTGTGAGTTTGAACTGCATTAATTTGGAGTCTATTGTTTATGTCTCTTGCAAGTTTTTTAGTCTTAGGATGATAGTCCAGTTGTGCTTCCTTACCTCATATATTAGACCGTTGAAAGAACAAAGGACATCTTCGATGACTTCAATTCCACCACCGACACCGTGTTTGAATTAGGTTATTTGATTATACTGTATTTCATTCTTGTTCAGTGCATTGGTTGATAGTATTGAAATTTTGATTCGTAATATTGATGTTGTGAAATTATTTCTTTAAAATTATTTATTTCGAAAAATATTATAACTTGATTGCTTTGTTTCTTATAGTTGAAATGTATATTGTTATGGACGAGAACTTGAGCTATACTGTACATATCCTGTGACAATGGACATAAATGCTGAATTATTGGATAAGAAATAAAGATGGGGATTTTGATTTGATCATTTTGATTGATTGCTACTTTCGTCCATTTTTGTAACTTGGTTGCATACGAAAATTGTCTTCTGTTGTTTGGTAAACTAGGCTTCTCCTAAATCTGATGCATTTAAATTTCAGTTCATATTATTAGGTGTTGTTCCATTTCCTATTGATGTTCCTCGCTTGAAGGTCATCACATTGAATGAGTCATATGTGACTTTGGTTCCAACCACATTATATTATGTGAGTATCCTTTCTTTGCTACTTATATTATTAGGTACTGTACTCTACTCACACATATAATATACTTAATTTCTTAATTTTTTAATTTTCTTATTTTCTTAATTTCTTAATTAAGAGATTAAGAAATTACAGATATAGCCGTCAACTTCACAG